AGCCGCGTGTTGGACGGGAAGAAAAGGTTGCCCGGACGGGGAAAAAAAACTCAAGCCCGTAGCCCGAAGAAACCAGCTCCCGGACCCAAGAGTCGGAGACGTGGGCCAGCCAGAAATCCGCAAAGAGCCGCTTGTGAGCGGAGAAAGTAGACCCAGGCATCCGGCGCTGTCCCGTCTTGCGCGCCTGGGGAAGAAGGCACTCTTACCCCCCGTCAGATCCTTAATGATCTCATCCAAGGTGGAACCAGACGGTCCCCAGTAAAGGGCAAATCTTGAAGAGCCTTCTTGGAAGTCTGGTCCGCCGACCAGCACTTAAGCCAGAGCAAACGGCGAAGCGGCACCGCTGACACCGACACCCTGGACACCAAGGGCGCCGCATCCAAGGCCGAATTACAGACATAACGAAGGCCTGAACCAACTGGTCCGTCAATTCCACAAAGGCGGGGGAGACGTTCTCCTCCGCAAGACCCTGATGTAACATTCTAGCCCACTCCGAGTCTGAGAGACCAAGGCCGAAGCCAAGACCGGACGCATGAGAGCGCCCGAGAGAGTACAGGGACCGCAAAAGCGCCACAGCCCAAAGGACTTGGAAGGCCGTTTCCACTCCTTATAAATGAATCAAAAAAGGAGATGTAAGGAAACACCTTGGCGGAACGCCTGCTCTTATGCGTCCCAAACTGCACATGCGGCAGCGTGGAAGTGCTGGCAACATCCTCAATTTTTAGGGACTCCCTGACAGCGCGGACCAGTGCTGAAACCGTCTCACGTTCCTGGACCAGGAGCGTAGACGCAGCCTCATCCTCACTGGCAGAATCAGGATGTGAGGAATTACCCGGACCAGGATGAGGTAATGGCGCGGGCAGTTCCCCCTCCTCTTCGGACTCCCCTGACAAGGCAGGGGACGGCAAAAAGGCAGGGCCCGCTTCCTAGGAGGACGCTGCATCAAGGTGCGCTGCATGCGCGTCACAAACCCAGCCATGACAGAAGAAAAAACTTCCAGGGACAATGCGGTACCCGCGGTACCACCCACCCCCCTGAAGCACCAGAGGGGCGCACGGGCGAGAGGCAAATCAGCGCAGGCGTACAGGCCGCACAAAGAGGGGATCTAGAGGGGTCCGCAGAGCGCAGCCCAAAACCCTCACAAGGCAATGCAGGAGTGTCCCTGCGATCCATTGCACACCCGCAGCAAAACAACTACCCCACAGACCAGAGACCACCAAACAAGGGAGAGGGACCCCCAGCAACTCACGACCCCCTGCGTTTGTCCCGGCCCAGAGAGAATCTCTGCCGCTGTGACCTCCATCCATGGCGTCCACGAGCCGAAAGGAATGCCCTCCCCATCCGCCCGAGGCTATAGGAAGCCCGGGCGGAAGTGACGTAACGAAAGGGCAAAGTTGCCCATATGCAAGATGGCGGCCGCGGAGCCCTCTGGAGGCCGCAAAAGCCGGGGCCTCGAGTAGCGGCCGCGGCACAAGCGACGTCTGGCGCGGATGCGGCCGCCCTGCACAGGCGGCCGCTGGGGACTGAAACAGCGCCCGTCCCCCACCCCAAGAGAGGCCTAGGTAACCAAGAACAACGTAGGCCGCAAAAGCCGGGGCCTCGAGTAGCTGCCGCGGCCGCCGCACGAGCGACGTCTGGCGCGGATGCGGCCGCCCTGCACAGGCGGCCGCTGGGGACTGAGACAGCGCCCGTCCCCCACCCCAAGAGAGGCCTAGGTAACCAAGGACAACGTAGGCCGCATCCAGACCGGGGCCTCAAGTAGCGGCCGCGGCCGTCCAGGGAGCGACATCAGCCGCGTGTACCACCCACCCCAACTACCAAGCACCTCCAAGGCCCAGGGACCCCCCGAGAGGGCCTTCACAGGAGCCAGCACCATGTTAGGTAGGAGGGAAGGAGGGGAGGGGGAAGGTGGAAGACACAGGAGGCTGCAGCTGTGAGAACAGCGCAGCCTTCAGCTTACCTCCAATCCAGGTCCTACGAACATCCACCGGAGACCCCACATACAAACCCACACGAGGGAAGACCGGAAACCGTCCAGGACCAGCAGGGCACCGGCAGGAGAACGCCCCCGGCCGAAGCGTCGCCAGCCTGCGGAGAGAGCCGCGACCGGTGGGCCGGAGCCCCCGGTCAAAGGTCCCTCTCCCGGGACGAATCCCAGAGGCGTCGGGGAGGACCACCCCTCGCAGCCGACCCACCGTAGCAGAGTCTGCATGCGCTCGTCGGTCACCCAGGGGAGACTACAAGGATCTACAGTCATCCAGCCTGTCGCCCTGGGGACACTTGCTAGAAGAAAATCCAGTCAAACGGAAGAAAGGAAAAAAATTCTCCAGAGAAATTTTTTTAGCTCCTTACTCGTGACGCTAGGCAAAAAACTGGAGACTTGTCAGCAGGTGGGGGGTTTGGCCACCGGCAGGGGCCGCCCCTAGGCTGTAATTGGTCTTTAGTTTTGTGCCTAGCGTCCTTCTCCTGCTGGTGGCGATATTACCCTACCATTCAGGATCTACGATCTGTTGCCTGTGTCCTTCAATGAACGGGAGAGAAAAAGTGTCGGTGAAAGTAAAGCCAAATCTTTACACAGGAGATCCCCTGTCCTTTTCGCATAGCATCACACTTTGCTAGGGCATCTGGACTCAATATGTACAAACATAAATTAAAAACTACACGGTCACCTTGGTCTCTCATCCTCCACTTCCGCACACACAGGTTCTGGGGCCTTGGGTGGGCATTGTTTACTGCCTAAGGAAGTACATGTCTGCAGACTCCCTAAACAGTCTACTGTTTAAGATTGAATTCAGTTGAACTCAGTTCCTGGTCATTCCATTACCAAGTGCACTTCAGCCTACGGCTCCTGGTCATTCTACTCGGCTGTCTACTCCAGCCTGAGACAACTAAAAATGATTCCAGACATATAGACAATTACCTAATTGTGCAGATTTTCTTATGATGGAAAACACCACAAATAATAAAGCTTCTCCCAACATGAACACTACACATTTGAAATACACAACAGAATCACAAACGACAGAAGCCATACTGCCTCCACATACTGAGAATATGTCACAATTACAGGCTTATGTGTACTGCGCGAGTTTTATCTTATGGGAAAAATAGATATGTGGAAAGACTCATAAAACAGTAAATGGATAAACAATTCCAGCTCCAAGTTCCGGCTTTAGGGTAACAAACATCCACAGCCCATAATTTCCGAGGTTCAGCTCTAGTGGGCCATAATCCATGAATGTAAAGGCTTTGAACTGCAATGGAATGCGCTATTTGCGCCAACTCCATTATGTTAGCTAGAACTACAACACGGTCAAAATCTAGAAGTCAAATGGCTAACATGCCTGGCACATTCGATCCAACACCTAACTGCTCTAAAGCCTGTTCTGAAGCTGCAAATGGTAGTGGAATTCTTGCAACTTGTTCCTGAAGTCTATGCATCTCCACCTTCTCTAAAAATGCAACAAATTATTTTGAAGCACCTTAAATCGGTGGCATATGGATGCAAATTTCAGCAGCCAATTTCAGAAATTTAGAAGCCAACAGTTAAGCCAGAGCACAAACATTATTTTCTGTTTTAGACAGAGGTGGTTTGAATCTGTCAGGTTTTTACATGCATCAATCCCCATTAGGGACATGCCCCCTCACTTTCTGTGATCACTAATTTAGGAACTGAAGGGGATCTTTACAAAGGGGACAAAACTTACTGCTGTAAGGACTTACCTTAAGTGATGCCTCTTGATCTGATTATCTTCTTTCCAGTAGTTTTCAGCAATCCCTCCAGCGCTGGTGCGGGTCTCTGATACAGCGCAGGCTGCTGTCTCTACCTATCCGATGGAGTCTGTGCAGCGTGCACGCTCACGGCTGTGTGCATTCACTTACAGGGAGCCTCTCCTCTTCTCCCCGCCGGTGCCCACACACATCCTCCTGCACGGCCACTCGAGAAGCTGGATTTTACAGCCGGGAGTGAGCGGCGAAGACGGAGGTAAGTTTTTAACTATTTGGTAACTTATTTTTTGGGATATACCTATTGCTTGCTAGCAGCAGATATATGTAAAAGAAAATGTGACTTAATTGTCACTTTAAAGCGTTGCAGCGCTTGTTTGTCCAAACCTGTCCCTGAATATAAAACAAAAACAATTGTATTAAGATACTTTGGACCCAGGAAATGTAATTAGTTGATGGGTGCGTGCGGTGGTTCTTAATGTTAACCGTTTCACCCATTTTCCTGGGGTGGCCGACCTAGGGAACCCTGTTGAGTCCTTCATGCAACAGATGCCCCTAAAAGACTTTTAGAAGCACGGTGTATGACAACACAGGGTGTAATGAAAGCGGTTTTCGGTTACAGAAAGAAAAAAAAACACACACAGAATGGTACATATTAGAGAGAGTAGAGAGAGGTTTGGAGGTAAATCAGAGTCGTTCCTGGAGATTAGCTTTAAATTATGTGCTTCAACACATGACCAGAAACTTCTGCCAAGTTCATTCCAATCTACGATAGGTTGAATATTGTTAAATTGAGGAAAACTTTAGGATGTCAGCTCAGATTCTAACAATTTGATTTACTATAGATGGGATAGGGAATACTACGTGTCTAAAACTGTATGTGTGCAAAAAATTCCTAATTATGAAGACACAAGAAAGTAAAACTAATTATTTTTGTTCACTCACAACTTGTAACGTTACAGGAAGGAACCCAAATATTATCAAAATCTGACTAGTTGAAAGTGTCAGGCTGGCATGACATTTAGAAAACACCAATGACTGTAGAGTTAGAAACTGATCTAGATTGTCAAGGGAGAAAATTATTCAGAAAAGTCATCTAACTAAAGATGCAGAAGGAGGTAAACTGCTGAAAGAGTTAATAATAATAATACCTTCACAAGGAGAAGGCCAAAACTGGAATCAAACACCTTAACCACCATAATAATCACTTGTTTGAACCAATTTCCCAAAAAGTATTTTAGGTTCCATGCTATGTCAAAAAAGAACAGTTAAGCCTAAGTCAAATCTACATACCTTGTGTCGTCCTCTATGACCCTGCCAAATTTGGAAACATTATGCTCAGCGGTATCCCAAAACAGCCTAAAAATTTGTGAAAAACAGGGGTTTTAAAGCAGCAGTGTTGTAGAAAAACAGAAAAGTTGTCTTTTTGGCAGACACTGTTTGAAAAGATTAAGAGCTACATGAAAAATAGATGGCAAGAATTAGGTTATGCTAAAGACACACGAAAAAAAAACCTAAAATGTTAGTTCCTGCTCCTTCTAAACCGAAGCAAGACAGAAGATAGAGATAAAGTAGAAGGCAGCGTCAAGAATTTGTGTCACTCAAGAAACAGTTTATGGTCACTGATCCTGCACAAAATTCTAGTCAACAGTCTAAGAAAACGCTACAAAAAAAAAAAAAGTGTAGGAATATAACAAGTAAGTCAAGGAAGAAATGAAAGATGGAATGAAATGTAATGGTCCTTATGGAAGGAGATATGACAAGATGGAAGACGACCAAGAAAACGAGGATTTTACAAACTAGGGGGGAAAAAAAAAGACACGCAAAGAGATAGGCAGTCCAATTACCCAAAGTCTGAGTCGGGACCGTCTGGAGTCAAATGGTCGGTATCTAAGCCATTGTCTAATAAAGGAGGCGACTTTCCATGTTCCAGTGTTAAACCGTTGGCTGATCTGCTTGAGCACTGTAATGACGGCCAGGAATCTTTGATATTACTGTTGGGTCTAAAAGAACACAAAAAAAAAAATGGACAAGATGCAAAACAGAAGAAAATAAAGTGATGAAGAAATAACCTGTGTACAAAAGTAAAAGCACGTTAGAAAACGAGTCTAAAGGTATTGGCTCTTGGGGGATGTATTTAATCTGTAGGTCAACTGATGTCAACCTAAACTGTTAGGTTACTGTTACAATAATGGTATTTAAAAAATAAAATCAGATTAACTAAAACTTCAATTCTACATGTAATACGAGAACACAGAACATGGCTGACCTCAGACTAATCCACAAACATCGTTAGTTACATACACATGGTGGTAAAGGATGATTTTTTTTTTTCATGCTGGTTTTCCCAAACGATTACATTGTAAGAAATAGCACAAGCCAAGACACCAAGGTTTTTAAACCTTATATAATAGAAGTGTGACCGAATTTGGGGCTTTGAAGGTATCAAGCAACACTCAAAAGGCAAATTAGTTTAAAAAGATATTTAAAAAAAAAATTTACATGTATAGTCTTTATCAGTACATATAAAATGTCTTATTCCACACAGATTAATACATTAAATAAAAATAATCCCTCAAACATAGCCAAGCATATTTCAAAAAGGGACCCTTTTAGGTGGGTAACTATACCCAAATTTATTGAGAAATATTCCAACACGAACTTTACAATATTATTAAAAGTGACATTAAAGCCAAAAATGTTCCCCCCAATGCTGGTGTAAGGACTTACCTTAAATGATGCCTCTTGATCCGATAATCTTCTTTCCAGTAGTTTTCAGGAGTCCCTCCAGCGCTGGTGCGGGTCTCTGATCCAGCGCCGAATCCTCTCTTCCTAGCCCAAGGAGTATGTGCGGGTGCACGCTGCTGCAACGTACTCTGTGACTCTCCTCTACTCCTGGCCGAAAATCTCTACTGCGCATGCGCCCGTCTTGTGATCCTTTGCGGCTGCCCGAGAATCTTCAGATCTTTGGAGGGGAGTGCATGGCGGCGACACAAGTTTGAACCCTTTTAATAACATTTTTTAAAATGTTTTTGCATATATCTACGGCTTGCTAGCCGTAGATATATGCAAAAACTCGAAAGGGTTTAATTATCCTTTAACCCCTTCATGACTGAGGCCCTTTTTTTCATTTTTTGCACCCATGTTATATTCCACCTTTTAGGCCTGCAAATGACTTAAAACCACCCTCGCGGCGATACCCAACATGTGTAGCGCGTTCGTCGTATTCATACGTAGGCGCACCCGACGCGTGTTTACGTGGCGACGCACGTGCTCGCGGGGGACTTTACATTTTTTTTATTATTAGATTGATTTTATTTAATTTTAATTGAAAAAGCTTTTTTTTTTTACTTTACTTTGACTGCCATCACACATAGAGGGGCTTACAAGCCCCCATGTGATAGCAGATGGTCGTGGCAGGTACTCTTTAAGGTGATGCTGGGGGTCCAAAAGACCCCCAGTGTCACCTTTACACTGGAAATAAGCTATTGAAGTGCAGATCGCACCCTTCTTCGGGACACAGAAGCGATCTGGCGACAGGTAAGTCGCCAGGATCGCTTCTGTTGTAAAGCCGACAGTCGGCTCTACAAGTTTAAACAGAGTCCCGGCGGCAAAAGTCTGTTTAAACAGCCGGGAGTCTGTTTAAACAGCCCCGATGCTGGCGACGTACACTGTACGTCGTCAGTCACGAAGGGATTAAGTCACAACTGTAATCCAAATTTAGTAGATATGTATCCTGTCATCATTTACACCTCGGGGTCTCATTTTCCTCTACGCATTTCGCACACCCACAGAGGGGGCTTCCTCGGGAGGGGAAAGCTATGGCCAGAGGGAGAGGAGAGCACACGGCAATTAAAATCATAAAAACGCCACTGGGAGAGAGCCTGACTGAGGGAGCATCTCCATGTTTGCAAATAAAGAGAGCTTAGCACATTTTGAGCATCAGCTTTACATGTGTCCCTGCTATAGTAGCAATAATCCTATGTGGATACTTGCCCGGGGCTACACACCTTTTACCCCAATCAGATTTGTAAACTTGGCGTGGACTTGTATTCTCCAAAGTTGCATCTATAAACCTATCTCCAAGAATTTAAAGAGTAAGCGGAATCGACATAATTGCAACTAGGGATGCACCGATACCACTTTAAGGCCGAGTACCGATACTTTTTCTTAAAGGGACAGGTCACATTTTTTCTAAAGCAATACAAAATCATGATTTTAGATCAGTTTCTTAATATTATGAAGAACATGAACACTCTGTAGTGTGGCACAGCTATATCCAATTCTGCATACCTGGCTTTATATTATAAGAACTTTATAATATAAAGCCAGGTATGCAGAATTGGATACAGCTGTGCCACACTATACAATAATACACTGTTCTGGAGTCTGAACATGTGATCATCTATTTTCCCCACTATGGGGATACAAGCCTTTGTTAGCAATGGCATGAGGAATATTCAATTCATTATTCATTCGCAGCCATCTTGCTTCATTGAAGACGCGATGGAGGTCCTGTGTGCGGCGGATTCGGGTCTCTGAAGATGGCGGACGCGGCACAGGTACTCGTTTTTTGTATCGGAGTATTTGCACGAGTACTCATGCAAATACTCGGTATCGCCGCCGATACCGATGCTTGTATCGGTGCATCCCTAATTGCAACTATAGAAAATAGAACTAAGCAAAATAAAAGTCACCAACTATAATAATAAAAGACAAAAAGGACAGACTTATTTACAATTCAGGAGCCTGCTGGCAGTTTATGAGTCCGCATGCATTCACAACGAACAGGTTGTCAACTTGGAGACTGTCACTTTAAGAATACGGAAAGCTGCTGACCGTGCAGGAACCCAGTGCCACAAAGGAGACACGGAGCTGAAGATTTTCATCATTGCAACTCCTGAAATGTACTGGACTTTGATGGTGTAGCATAGCTAGGCCGTGGTCACCACAAAAAGGTACACAGACTACAATATTCAAAAAAAAAGTTCATGCCATAAACTTTCTATAAATGCAAATATAGATTATAAATATATTCATAATATAATTCTGATTATAGAATTGTCTGAATACTTTAAATATAAAGTATTACTGTAATTTCCCAATACAATGACACCTTTGAAAGATCAGCAACAGAAAACTGGCCTTTACAATTTTAAACATTAACAACGTTCGCAGGGAAAAAAATGCTAACAATGCTACAGCAGCTCTGCTTAGAGTTCAAGTAGTATTAAAGGCTGGGCCTTTCTTTACCTTAATGCATTCCCTGCATTAAGGTAAAACTCCCAGTACATTCCTTTGTTCTCCGGGCCCCCTGCACTTACCTGTGGTCGCCGTCACCTCCTCCAGAACCAGGAAGATACTCGGCGTTCCTGAACTTCCTTGTTCTGGGGGAGTGTACAGAGGGCGGAGGAGCAATCGGCGCCTTCTGCCGTCAATCTGTTAGAAGAAGGGAGCAGCGGGTGGATTGTCACATGCAGTGTGTGCGTCTATAGATGCACACAGCTAGATGCGGGGACACACACGCATGGGTGTCTCCTCGGCAGCCAGCTAGCTGATGGAAACACCCAAAAACAGCGTTTTGGGAACAAACTAGAGAATGAGGAAATACAAAAATATATATATTAAAAAACTCAGTAGTGAGTTTGAGTGTGGCCATAATATTCATAAAAAAAACCCCAAAAACCTGAAGGTTTAAGATCACTTCAAAGCCAGGAACAAATCACAATCATCAACCTGGAAAACATTTGCCAAAACATTTCACCATAGTTATAGTAACAATGAAAAGGTACCCATCAAGGATGAGTTTTCAACCGGTTCATATTGCATGGAGAGGGCCAGACCGTGTTCACATTATGGATGCACCAATACTAGTATAGGTGCTGATGCCAAGTATATGCTCCGATGCCTAGCGTCATTACATGCTGCCTGGCTTCCTGATTGGCCGGGAAGCCGGCTCCGTGCTCTCTCGTCACTTGCTGGCCAATGAGGAAGCCGGGCGCCACGTCATTACACGGCGCCCGGCTTCCTGATTGGCCAGAAAGCCGACTTCAAGCTTTCTCGCCACCTAGTGACGAGAAGCATGGGGACAGCTTCCCTGCTAATCAGGAAGCCAGGGGGCGAGTCATTACACACCACCTGGCTTCCTGAAATGGGACTTCCGGTACTCGGTATCGACGAGCACCAAAGAAAAAAAATATCGGTACTCGTAACCGAAACTAAAGTATCGGTGCATCCCTAGTTCACACCGTAGCATTCTCCTTTGAACCGTCACAAGTGGAGCGGCCTTTTTTCCCCCCCAAAAAGGACAAACGAAATTCCAACCTGCTCAAACCAAAGAAACTCCATACTTGGGGAGATTACTAAATGATGCCAAAATGAAACCATCTGGGTCATGTTCTTGTAGGGGAAAAAAAGGAACATTCTCTTGAATATTTTTGACGTTGTGTTCATTGTGGCCGCCGTGGTCTGGATTCATATTGCTTGCTGCACAATGCAGACTTCGACTGGCTAAACATAAATGCAATGTTTACACTGGCCTGACAATGCGATGAAAGCTCTCAAAGCACAAAGAAAAGGACATTATGACAGAGCTGATTCAGCATAATATTAAACTAAACATGAGATTGTAGTCCATCACAGGAGCGAGCTTGGAGCGGTGACTACTTTACAACACACAGAGGGACCATGGGGAACAAAAAGAAAGTAGTCACCCTCCAGAAGGAAGGGCAGTGTCCACACCAATTCAAAGATGATTTGGAGGATCTACAGCTGAGTGATACACAAATAAGATGCATTTTTGTTAAAAGTTAAAGTGTGACATTAAAAGGCTAAAGTACCCCCCCCCCCCCTCCCCCCTTAAGAAAGGACTTCCCTTAAATATGGCTCCTTTTTTTGGCTTAAGTAAGGACTTACCTTAAATGAGGTCTCTTAATCCGATCATCTTCTTTCCTGTCCTTTTCAGCTGTCCCTCCAGCGCTGGTGCTGGTCTCTGATCTATCGCTGACTCCTCTTCTCTGATGTCCCACGGAGTCTGTGCGGGTGCACGCTGCTCCATAGACTTAACTTGCGTCTCTCCTAGTCTCCCGGCCGAACATCTGAACTGCACATGCGCCCGCCCCAAGTTCCTTTATGGCCACCCAATACATTTACATTTTCAGATGTTTGGATGGGAGAGTGCGGCGGAGACACAGGTAAGTATTAACTTTATCAAAAAGTTTTCTTTATCGTTTTGCATATATCTACTGCTTACTAGCAGTAGATATATGCAAAAACAAATGAGGGTTTAATAAACCTTTAAGGTACTCGAATGTATTTTTAAGATTTCCCCTTTGGAGCTTAGTGTCATTTTAAATATATATTTGAAAGTGTTTTGGTAGTATTAGTTTCTTGAGAGCAAAAAATATTATTGATTCTGCAAGAAATCTTGTGTCTTGATAACTTCCCATGCGCTCTTCTTTTGCTGAATCTTATCAGTTACCATTGGTCACATATCTTTAGACTACAAAACACCTCTCCCACGTTATGGAGAAAAGGGTGGAGGGGTGGTATTATGTAATTCTGGCCTAGTGCAACAATGCTACTCCCTCATATATACAGTACAGTAAGGAAGCAC